CTATCAGTGCCACCTCATTAGCGCCCACCCGTACAGCCTCATCAGTGCCTATCAGTGATGATGAAAAATTACTTATTTGCAAAATTTTCTAACAGAAATTACATTTTGTTTTCAAAATTTTCGGTCACCTGTGCCCATCAGTGTCACCCATCAGTACTGCCCATCAGCGTAGCATCATCAGTGCCTATCAGTGCCGCCTATCCATGCCACCTCATCAGTGCCCATCAGTGCCCATCAGTGCAGCCTCATCAACGCACATCAGTGAAGGAGAAAAATGACCTGCTTGCAAAATTTTATAATAGAAACAAAGAAAAACTCTTTTTTCAAATTTTTTGCTCTTTTTTTTTTTGTTTATAGCAAAAAATAAAACACCCAGCGGTGATTAAATACCACCAAAAGAAAGCTCTAGCTGTCCCAAAAAAATAACAGTTATTTGGGTACAGTGTTGCATGACCGCACAATTAACATTCAAAGTGCGACAGCACTGAAAGCTGAAAACTGGCCTGGGCAGAAACGGGCTGAAAGTGCCCGGTAGGCAAGCGGTTAAATAATGGTTTGCCGTCACACAAGAATGGTCTGCTTAACACACCTGCAGGTGACCAGCCTGGTGTGACGGGACCCAAGAGCTTTAAATGTCACAAGCCACTAGCTAGTCTATCCAGTGAAGTGAATTGAGGTTTTGGTGTATGTGCTGGGGGGGGGGGGTGCTAAGAAGGATAAGAACACTAATCTTTTAAGGATCAATGTACGTTGGTGTTAGATTCAACGGTAATTCATGTGTTGCACGCTTTCAGGTCAAAAGGGTTTGGGCCGAGATGTGCTGGAGAAGAATTTACATGGCTGCAATTCCAATCACTTGGCTAGAGGAATAAAAGCAGCTGAAATACAGCATTTTGCATTTATAAAGATGCAACATATTGTATGACAAAACCAACACGATGAAGACTATACCGTATGGTGACAATGCTGGAACAAGGTCTGTACTTTAGCACCCGAGCTGAAGGTACACCAGGCCCCCCATGACTTGCAAACTACTTTAAAAAAAAAAAAAAAACCTGTGCCTGGAGTTCTACCTTAATGACAAAGTATACACCGGCAGCACAGCGCGGACCTTTAAGATAATGAACAAAGATTTATTCGGGTGATCACACTTTTTTATTTACAGTCGATCTGCGATTCAATCAAAACATTAAAAAATTGAATATCCATAACTTAATGTGAATGTACTATATATATAAAATGTAAAAGTGTTGAGTAAATTGACGGCACTGTATAAGTACCTGAAATAAATAAATAAGAATAAAATAAAATTTCCGATCAGACTCAGTTTCAATCAAATTTGGGAAGAAAAACGTCTGATCATTTTGCATCAATTGGCAGCAGTGGGATACTTTGCTGATGAATTTGATGGCATTTCATTAGTCAAATTATGAGATTACATTGTGGAAACAGACATGCAAACAATGACTTACAAATATAAGTTACCCCCCGGTCACACCAAACCCGACTTTGAAATCGTACGATTTACAGTGAAATCGCACGATTTCAAAGTCGGGTGAGATGCCGAGTTCAGGTGCAATCTGAAAGACATCTGACACTGATGTCTATGCAAATCGCACCAAAAGTAGTGCATGTACTACTTTAGAAATCAGTGCGACTGACCAAGCCAGAACCGCACTTATATGACTCTTCTAATTGCAGACAATAGGGTGCAACTTGGCATCCGCAAGTCGCATGGCATGCAAATCGCTTGCCAATTCGCATCCAGTGTGACTGGGGACTTACTATCACTCAAAATCCATCTAATGGGTTGGCATCTCTAAATTATTTCTTCTGAACAGAAGAGATTGATTTGAAAAGAAAATGATCATTTATCGAAGTGTGTATGGCAACCATTAACCAGCTGCAGTTCAGGCCAGTTTTGGCATTCCTCTCTTCCTATGTTACAATAACTCCCAAACATTATATATTTTTTTTTATGCATAAGCAGAAGACCTAGAAAATAAAATGGTGGGTGTTGCATATTTTTATGTCAAACGATTTTTGTGCAGTGGTTGTTCAAATGCAATTTAAAAAAAAAAAAAAAAAAAAACTTTAATGAATTTTAATGCACAAAAAACACAATTATTTGGTAAAATAAAAAAAAGATGATGTTACGCTGAGTAGATAGAGACCTAATATGTCACACTTTAAAACTGTGTACACCTGTGGAATGGCGCCACACTATGGTACCTACAAATCGCCATAGGTGATGCTTTAAAAGCCTTTACAGATTACCAGTTTAGAGTTACGCGTGGTTTGTTCAAGGTTTACATGCCTGTTTGCATTTGGGGGCACTTTAAAAAAAAAAAATTGTACATTTATTTAATTTTTTTTTTTACATTGTAACTTTAATTTTTTTTTTTTAATCAAATTTGGGAACAATATCCCTTGTGTTAGCATGGGCTATGACAGGTCCTCTTAATGGAAAGATCTGGGGTCTATATTATACAGGATTTATATAGCGTCAACAGTTTGTTCAGCGCTTTACAATATAAAGGGAAACAATCCAGCAACAATACAGTTCAATAGTTCAAGAGGGTTAGGACAGCCCTGCTCCTTGGAGCTTACAGTCTAAGAGGGAGGGGCTGGTGGTACAAAAGGTAATAACCCTGTGGGGGATGGAGTAGTATGAGGAGTAGAAGATTCCATTAATTAGGTGATGGCAGGATAGGCTTCCCTGAAGAGATAGGTTTTCAGAGATCACCTAAAAGTGGGCAGAGTAGGTGATAGATAGATTGTGGTAGAGAGTTCCAGAGGATTGGGGGGGGGGGGCTCTGGAGAAGTCCTAGAGGAGGAGACAAGGGAGCTACAGAGCAGGAGCAGAGAGGACAGTTTGGGTGATATTTGGAGACAAGATTGCCGACTTAATTTGGGGCAGAGTTATAAATGGCTTTATGTTATTGTTAATGTTTTACATTTTATTTGTTGGGCAATGGGAAGCCAGTGGAGGGATTGGCAGAGAGGGGTGGCAGATACGGAACGGTTAGTAAGGTGGATGAGTCTGGCAGCAGCATTCATGATAGACTGAAGAGGGGATAGCCTGCGATGAGGTAGGCCAATGAGGAGGGAGTTACAATATTCAAGGCGAGAGATAACAAGGGAGTGAATAAGTTGCTTCCGAGGTTAGGAACGGGCGTATCTTGGAGATGTTGCGGAGGTGAAGTCTACAAGATTTGTACAGTGATTAGATTTGGGGCTGAAAGGACAGATGGGAGTCTAGTATTACACTAGCACCCTGGCATGAGGGGAGGGACTGATGGTCATATTATTGATCTTGATTGAGAAGTCAGGGGAGGGGGCACGGGCTGGAGAGAATAGTATGAGCTCAGTTAGCAGTTAGTAGATCATCAGTGAGTTTTAGTAGGGCAGTTTCAGTGGAGTGTAGTGAGCAAAAGCCAGACTGGAAAGGGTCAAGAAGGTTGTTGTCAGTGAGGTGGGAGCTCAGGTAATTGTAGACTAGGCGTTCTAAGAGTTTAGAGGTAAATGGGAGCAGAGAGATGGGTCATAAGTTGTTCAGGTTGTTGGGGTCCAGGGAGGGTTTTTTTTTAAGTATGGGAGTGATGTGTGCATGCTTTAGAGGGGAGGGGAAGGCACTGTTAGAGAGGGAAAGATTGAAGATGTGAGTGAGGGAGCATAGGATGGAAGAAGAGGGTGACCGTAGTAGTTGTGAGGGGACAGGATCCAGGGGGCAGGTAGTGAGACGGGCTTCTGAGAAAACCTTAGTGACCTATTCAAAGTAGAGAGTTAAAAGTAGAGAAGAGACGACAACTGGATGACAAGGTATTATTAAGAGTGACAAAGTAGGTTTGTTTGGCAGCATGGATGGAGGAATTGTATGTTAAAACGGAGTTCCACTCATGCTGTAAAAAAATAAAAGTAACACACACTCACCTGTCCCTCGGTGTGTCCCCTGCAGCCCGTTTTACCGGCCGTCTTCTCTCCCTGGTGCTGGCATCTTCAGTGTGGGCACCTGGCTGTGACAGCTTGAGGCTTCACAGCCGGGTGCCCACTGCGCGAGTAGCGCTGCGCTTCATGAATGGCCCTGCAGTCTTCTGGGACCTGTCACATGTCCCAAAAGACTATGGGGAGGGAGGATACCCTCCACTTCCGATCACCTAGGCAATCGGAGCGGAAGTGGGAGTGGGTACCTGTCAAATTCGGGTACCCGCCCCCCAAAGGTGCCAATCCTTAATGGGGAGCGAGGGACTAGTCTTTAAAGCGGAACTTCCCCTTTTGGGTGGAGCTTCGCTTTAAGAAAGCAGATTTATATTGGGTGAATGATGGTGGAAACCTTCTGCGTTTCTACCTAAAAATACCTAATCCAAACCAATATAGAGAAGCTGCTAACATCCAATCATATACCAAAATGATCAAAGATAAATGAAATAAGGAAGTGATGCAGCGCTACTCTGATAACAACTATATATATATATATATATATATATATATATATATATATATATAATAAATAAGATGATATATATGAAGTGACACAATGTGCAACAGACACACAAACAGTGACCTGATCCTCCAGGGATCTACAGATATATAGATGGACTGATCCTCAATGCATCCAAGGTGTACACAGTGAATGTTGTACCACCCAAATGATGGTAATCGCAGATTTTTTAACCAATACTAAATGCATGGTATAACTGTGCATAAATCCTAAATTAGGATTCAAAGTGATGGTGTAAGCAAAACAAACAGGAAATATGTAAATTTAGCTCAAATCGGACTAATATGTCCAAAATTTGGACTAACAAAAATGCATAAAAGTGCATAAACACGCAAAAGCAAAATATCTGAATCCCAAAACATTATAAATAGAGATGAGCGAAGTATTCAAAAATTCGATTCGGCTGATTCGGCGAATTCGAGGAATAAATTCGATTCAAGGCGAATATATTCGCTGCGAATTTAACTTATAAAAAGGGTGTTTCTAGGCTTCAGAGCCTTTATATTAGTGCAGAACACTGTACCTTTAATTTAAATGCCCTTGGAGTCTGCTGGGGAAGAGAAATAATACTGTCAGTCAGTATGACATGCAGATGAGTGCCGTCGATCTTAGAATCACCGCACACTTCACTCATTTGGGCAGTCACGGGGCCAAAACCAGAGTGTGTGGAGCCACAGTGTGGCGGTGGAGGCAGCAGCAATGGGAGGCCATACAGCACCCTATGACAAAATGGAACCCACCAGCAGTGTGAGGAGACCTGAAAGTGGCACATGGCAGAGTGTGGCGATGGAGACAGCAGCAATGGGAGGCCGTACAGGGACCCATGACACACTCTGGACCTGGCAGCAGCATGAGGAGGCGGTACACAGGGGCCCATGACAGATTACGGACCTGGCAGCAGCATGAAGAGTCGGTACGGGGGCCCATGGCAGATTACGGGCCTGGCAGCAGCAATGGGAGGCCCGTAATCTGCCAGCACCCTATGACAAAATGGAACCCACCAGCAGTGTGAGGAGACCTGAAAGTGGCACATGGCAGAGTGTGGCGATGGAGACAGCAGCAATGGGAGGCCATACAGGGACCCATGACACACTCTGGACCTGGCAGCAGCATGAGGAGGCGGTACAGGGGCCCATGGCAGATTACGGGCCTGGCAGCAGCAATGGGAGGCCATACAGCACCCTATGACAAAATGGAACCCACCAGCAGGGTGAGGAGACCTGAAAGTGGCACATGGCAGAGTGTGGCGATGGAGACAGCAGCAATGGGAGGCCGTACAGGGACCCATGACACACTCTGGACCTGGCAGCAGCATGAGGAGGCGGTACAGGGGCCCATGACAGATTATGGGCCTGGCAGCAGCATGAGGAGTCGGTACGGGGGCCCATGGCAGATTACGGGCCTGGCAGCAGCAATGGGAGGCCCGTAATCTGCCAGCACCCTATGACAAAATGGAACCCACCAGCAGTGTGAAGAGACCTGAAAGTGGCACATGGCAGAGTGTGGCGATGGAGACAGCAGCAATGGGAGGCCGTACAGAGACCCATGACACACTCTGGACCTGGCAGCAGCATGAAGAGGCGGTACAGGGGCCCATGGCAGATTACGGGCCTGGCAGCAGCAATGGGAGGCCCGTAATCTGCCAGCACCCTAGGACAAAATGGAACCCACCAGCAGTGTGAGGAGACCTGAAAGTGGCACATGGCAGAGTGTGGCGATGGAGACAGCAGCAATGGGAGGCCATACAGGGACCCATGACACACTCTGGACCTGGCAGCAGCATGAGGAGGCGGTACAGGGGCCCATGGCAGATTACGGGCCTGGCAGCAGCAATGGGAGGCCCGTAATCTGCCAGCACCCTATGACAAAATGGAAACCCACCAGCAGTGTGAGGAGACCTGAAAGTGGCACATGGCAGAGTGTGGCGATGGAGACAGCAGCAATGGGAGGCCGTACAGGGACCCATGACACACTCTGGACCTGGCAGCAGCAAGAGGAGGCGGTACAGGGGCCCATGGCAGAGTGGCGAAGCGTAAGCAGCTTAAATTGAAGGCCATACAGAGGCCTATGTTAAAAATAATAACATGTTTGGGGGCATGATTCATGGCGGATTTAGTCAGTTGTGTCAGGAACTGGTGGTTTGAAATCCAGACTAATCCACGCCTGATTCATTTTCACAAACGCGAGTCTCTCCACGCTTTGGGTGGACAGTCGTGTCCTCCGCGGAGTTACAATACCTCCTGCCGCACTAAACACGCGCTCCAATGCCACGCTACTGGCCGGGCATGACAGCCTTTCAAGGGCAAATTCAGCTAGTTGGGGCCAAAGGTCAAGTTTCGTTGCCCAGTAGTCAAGGGGATTGTCTACCTCGGTTGGCAGGGTGCTGTCCAAGTAGGCCCAAGCCTGTTTTTGAGGTCCTGCTCCAGGTCCACCTGATGCTGCTGCTGCTGCGGCTGATTAGTAGTTTTCCCTCACTGCGCTGGTGAAGAAAGCTACTCATCATCGACTGCAGACTGAGGCAGCCGCTGCTGGTGGAGCTGCCACTGCTCCTACCACCCCACCCCTCCCCTGCTGCCATGGCAGCGGAACGCGAGCGCACAGGGCCCACAGTGTATGAGGATGGACGTTGGCGCAGAAAGGCAGAGACCAACTGACTACATAGGTGGTTTTTATAGTACTTTATTTTGGCCTCCCCTCTCAGCAGGTGTGAAAAAGGCCACCATTATTTGAAGCGGTAGCGAGGGTCCAACAAGGTGGACAGCCAAAAGTCAACCCTCTGTCTGATTGGTATATTATTCGGTAGCTGTCCGCTACGCAAGCAACCGAGCATTGCTATGGGGCCATTTGTGCAAAGGAATGCGAGGTACTCCCTGCCAGCCATCGCCACAGCATAACCTGCCACGGGGTGCGTCTGGGTCCTCTGCTCTCCCTCCGTCCGTTCCTCCCTCTACCAGATGCCTCCTCTGCTCCTCCACTCCTGGTCCGCTGAGTGGAAAAACCACCCATTTCACTCCAATAATTCACTGAGCACAAATGTCCTCTCCTCTACCTCCTCCTCTTCTTCCTGTCCTGGCCCCAACAAGGGTCATGCGGCGTTGAGATCTGGTGCGCCACGTCTATCGCCCCCTGACCAAGCCTTTGGTAACAGCATTTTGTTCCAGGGCGTGCAAACAGAGGAATTACGTTTGTTCACCCATAGTCCCGCCGGGCTCCCCAATAGCGTGGCCCTCCTCAAAAAGGCCCTGAAACAAGCGGGGAGGTGTCAAGCATTAGCTGGGCAATGGCTGGCATCTAAGTTACACAGGGGGGTTTCCTTTACCGCTTGGAACATCCCCCGGAAATCGGTGATGGGGCCTTTTTTGCTGTTTTGGGAAAACGGTCTAACATTGTAGGGTTTAATTCCACCTTGTTGCAACGTCGCGATCAGGCCCATGTGTGGGGAAATTTCCCTTTTGCCCTGCAGCTCAAGGAGGGTGTTCTTTGGGGGGTTTGGGGAAAGACTGAATGCTGCAAAGTTTACGTTTACATTTTAAAAGGGTGTCTTGCAGTGGGATGGTGGGTTTTAGGAACCCCCTTGACAACCAGATTTGAACCTGAGCCATGCATGGCGCATGGCAAAACCTTCCCCCCCCCCTTTTTCCTTGCGGCAACAAGG